AACTATTTTCAAGTATACTCAAAACTCTAACACCCACATGTTGAGATGTCATACCTTGAAAGTTACCAAATCATCCAAAAGAGATCAATACAAGGGGTAAAAAGCCAAACAGAATACTTTTATGGACTATCATGCAACAAAAAACATCAGTCTTTAGTCCAGAGGCTTAACATCCAAATAACAGTACAAACAAGCAAAACCAAACAAAAACACAAATTAAACTCACCCCCCTACACACTCTGAAGATTCAGAAGCTGCAAACTCTCCAGAATCCTCAATCACCTCGCTCATATCTGCACCAGTAATGCTCGATGTCGATCCCTCATTCATCTCACTCTCTTGCACTCTCGAATATTGCCCTTTTCTCTTGCTCCGTTCCCGCCATTTCCTCAAAGCATTGGAAAGATCAGTATGGGTTGTAGATTGCTCGCCCCTTTCCATTATTTGACGATCAACAGGCTGATCCAGTTGGTAATTACTACTACTTCTACTCTGATAAGAAAATGGCTTGAGAAAGCACACTAGAACTATGAGAAGCATTATGTACACATACAAGGAAATCCAAACATAAAAGGTCCATTTCCAGTTGTAGACGATCTCTTTTCTGCGAGGGAGCTGTGAATTTATTAAGATCTCAGCTTCATATATTTGGGGGAGATTGAAGGTTCCTGATCTTGGTTTTAGCCGAACTCGTATTCCTTCCGTTGGCTTCTGAGTGGTTTCTTTGTATCTTAGTATTTCGAATGCTATCTGTTGGCTCTCACTGCGCATGCCAATTAAGAGAGGAATGCCCATTATGAATGTTCGCATTAGTCGGACTGGGAGACTATTGAACCTAAGCATGCATGGTTGGCTGGATGCTGTGACGGTATCACCATTTGATGTAATGACTTCTGCAGTGACCTGAGAGAAGAGAAATAATTTGATCTAGTTGATCTTCCGTGATTTTTATTTTTCTTAATGTTTATAATGGTGTGCAAAAATTTTGAGATTTTGAGTTTGTAACGTAGATGACTATGTGGATAAAAATGTCAATGCCTGCAACAATCCGATTATCATTTGAACCTTGTCTCATAACAATGAGGCCACCTATGAAGCACATGACTCCTAAAAGATCTTACCAAAATTTTGCTATACGTTATGTATCAACTATCTATACAGGTTCAGGACACTCCACAAAGAATATTATGGACAAGAAATGCTTAAATTCTGAAGACATGTCGAGAAATTACAACAAATTAACTAATAAGAACATTGTTTAAACTCGTGCATCAAAGACGCAAGCCTCTTGGTTCATATAAAACTGTCAAAAAATAAATAAAAGAATATAAAGTTCTGATCATATATTATAGATAAGGTACTAATCATGCATCTATTGTGTTCTTTGGCTTCTCTACAAGTTTTGTTTCCTTCACTGGTCAGCAAGATGAACCATGTTAATTAATAGGAAGAATGTCTGGGTTGGAAAGGCCTGTTAACAGAAATGGACTTGGCTAATCTACTAGGGTCCAATTGACTCAAAAGGATGAATCATTTTTTATCATGACTCCAAGCATATTTAAGCATCTATCAATCTCATTCTACTTCCAATATTGAATTAAATCAAACCTCATGTCTTTTGCCAGACCAAATCCAAAAATAATTGAATTGATGTGAGATACTCCTAAACAAATCTCCACCTCGACTTGGGTCTACTCGAGCCCAGAAAAGATGGCTAATGGAGATAACGCTGTCAATTACTTCGCAAACAAATAGTCACACCAGCAAGCAAATGTGTTCGCATGCACACCCAAGGGAGCCCTATCTCTATGCTGGACCAACTTACATCAGAAGCAAATGCACGGTCATATTTGCTCCACCTTGAGCTCTAACCATTAAACAAAATCTCAAAGTAAACTGAGATCCAACAAAGGATCACGGTTCTAACCGTGAGCTCTGACGGCAATTTGTTGGGTTGGGTTGGCCCATTTACAAAGATGGAGTTAGGTAATATGCTTGGGCCCAATCGACTTAACAGATTAATCCAGTTTGAATAATCCTGAGTCCAAAATATGTTTTAATCATGCATCCATCTCATGCTATTTCGAATGTGGGACTAAATCCTCCTCATTCCTTTTGCTAAATTGAACCCACGCTAAACCGAATGTATGGCAGAAATTAATTAACAAAAAAGGTGGGATGAGATTAGGAAAAATAGCTTTAAATTAAGATGTTACATCTCCCAGAAGGACACTGATAAACTTGCATATTACATTGGCCTTCTGGACATAGAAAGCTAATGACTTATAGACTTAAAAATCCCCAATAATTTAGGGAATCCAACTAGTCCTATACAAACATAATCTCTCTTGATTCACTAAATGCCCAACATTTTAATAATGTTGTTAGGATCAAGTCATCTATATACTAGTTTTTATGTACGTACATTGTATGTGGTTAAATATCATAATTATTTATTTTTTGTTTATTTCCTTACTAAAATTTGTTCTTCGATTTCAGTTTGATAGTTTTTACTCACTTATGTCTCTAAAATTTAATATTGTAATTATTTATCTTCTTTAATGTTTGTTTGAATGGGCTACACCTAATTTTAAGTTTCATGTCGATAAATATTGAATTGACAAGAAACCAATATGAAGCCAATTTGAATATTCATGTTATTTGGATCGACATGAAAGAAAGTTTTACGTAAGGAAGTTTAGTGTTGTAAAGGTAAAAAAAAATACTTGAAAAATAGCATTATAATAGCAAAAGGAATAATTAAAGCCAATAAGCCTAGACAATTGATTAGAAGGGGCTAAAATGACACAAAAGAGAATATGAATTTTATTCCTAATCATTAAAAAACTTCATCAAAAACCATAAACTAAATATTAATGCTAACTCTATTATAATTTTATATGATAAAATATCCACAAAATAAGTATATAAAAATATTAAAAAAAATTCATAAAAATCTCTTCCAAATATTCCTAAGTTTAATTAAAAAATTAGGTTATTTTATAAAACATTAAGAAAATATTGTCTTTTGTTCTTTCTGTTTCATTTTTGATTGAGCTGAGATCAAGCCTTCTTTACTTTTATCTTTTTCTAGGGTAATTCTGGAGTGATGTCTTCATCATCTACGTCAATTGTGACATTAGGTTGGACCTGAATTTCTCGTGCTATTATCTTTCCCTGACTCATTTATCTTTTACTTTTTCATCTAACTTTACAAGTAATTTGAATAAGAATAAATGTTAATGAGAATAAATGTTAATTTCATATATATGATAATTTTTCTGTGTTTCTAATTCATTATTTAAGTTAAGTTAGGATTGACCTATTTTTTCTTTGCAATGTATTTTTATGTTGTGTATCTAATAAGAGTTTCTACTACATCAAATAGTGTTACCTTTTCAATGTCCTAAGTCATCAGAGATTCTACAATATTTATCATTTGGACACTCGTGATTAACATCTATATCAACCTTTTTGTTGCGGCCTTTGCAAGCGTAAAGCCACAGCTCAAGTTTAGTATAACTGGTAGTTATCTTTGCCTTAAAGGTGCAATAGCGTATCTATACATTGGTAAATTTTAATTAGGTTTAATTGTGTGAATTATAGAGTATGTATTTTAAGATCATACCTCTTTCAAATGTTGTAATGCTTGCATAATATCGCTAAGTTAAATTTTTGTTGCATTTGTAAAAAGCCTTGGTGAAGATGCTTTTGTCTTGATAGCTTGTTCTGAATGAGCCTTACATATTAACTTAAAAATATAATATTTGTTGTTTATTGTGTTATATAGATATTTGCATGGTTTACTTACCATTCTCTTATTTATTTAGTTAGTTGAATATTTGGGTGTATATATATAATTAAGGTGAACTTTAAGTTTAGTGGCCTTTAATAAGAATTTTTATAATGAAATATATTACCTTCGTATTTAGAGATCATGATTTCCGATAATGCTATTATGGGCTTATCTTTAATCATGTCGTAAAGAATTGATCCTTTTTTCATAGTCATGTTCTTAAATAAAGCTACACGTAGAGGCATGCCACTATATAGTAAAAAAGGAAAAAAATATCAATTTTAATTTTTTCCTAAGTTATGATAAGTAAATATCATGTGTATATATTTTGTCCACTATAGTGATTTCCCACCTTTTGTCTGACTTGTTAAGTTTTATGTGGATAACTTTTGTCAATTATAGTAATTTTTCTCCTCTTGTCTGGTTTGTTATTCCTCGTAATATAGTTGATCAATAGCTTCACATTAGTTGCTATCTCTATCTAATTATATAATAAGTTTATGACTCCTTTACTATTGTAAGAATAAAATATGAAATTTTATAAGACTTACTAATATTTCTTGTACCTTCTATGAAAAATACTTCTTGATTGGAAAAGGTTGTTTAATATGTTCTCCAATAGAAAATCAGTTGGCACTTCTTTGATAGATATGTCTCTTGTTAGTATCAATTCATGTAAGTTTATGAATATTGGGTTAATTTCATTCACTTTTCCATTTAAAATGAAAACAGGTAGATCCTTTTGAAGGATATTTCTTAACTTTTTAATTGCTTCTCCCTACGTAACTCATTGTATTTTTTTATGTACCCTGGAAATATTATTAACATCAGAGAATATTTTTTACATTGTGAATATTACTAACATTAGAGAATATGTTTATAAAATATAATCAATTAATACTAAGCTATTTTATTACAGTCTTTTATCAGTTTTAAGTGATTTATTTTTCTATCAATTAATGCTACCTCTGTATTTTTTATACTCCAACTTGTGAGTAAAATTATATACAATTACTTTTATTTAGACAATGAAATTAAATTTTAATCTATCAATATATTTTTCAAATTTCATGGTTCTTTGTAATTTTCAACTTTTGAGGGTGTTTCTATGTTATGTAGGATCTGAAATAGATACACTAAAACACTAGAGGGGGGTGAATAGTATTCTTTTAAAATTTATACAAAGTAGATTATAAAATTTTAAAAAAATAACAATCTCAGAAATTCACAAACATAAAGTTTTATACTGGTTCTATCAATCCAGTGTACATCCAGTCCCCAAGCAAATCCCGCTTGAGAATTTCCGCTATGATTTTGAATAAACTTACAAAATCAAAAGCAAACCGGACCAATTTGTAAGTCCCTACAAATTGCAACACTAATTGACAAACATCTTGTCAATTTACACACCAATCTCTAAACCAATAGATTAACACTTCTCACAAACCGAAAAAACTTCTTTGAAGCAACAACTCAAATTCCTATAAGCCTTAATTTGTAGTGTTGTGTAGTAATGGCTTAGGAATGATTCTAACTTCTGTAAATTGCCTAAATAACAAGTATTTGAATGATGATCAAAGGCAATTTTAGAAACTTTTTTTTTCTCAAAATCTGAATGTTTTTACACTTGAAAAATGCACAAAGATCAAAGCTTATGGGTATGTGAGTCTGTACATTTTTTCTGAACAAATAACCTATTTATAGCCCTTGAAAAGATAATTATTTGAACTTTAAAAACGTTTAAAAACGGCTATAAACAATCATTAATTTAAACTTTAAAATCTAAAAAAACTGTATATGTAGTCGACTACAAGACAAAATAGTCGACTACACTGAGTTTAAACAGACTCTGTGAAGTCAAAAAATTTCTCAGTAGTCGACTATAAAGATCATTAGTCGACTATAATGTAATCAGACAGAAACTTAAAAAATGTATTTTGCCTTCAGTAGTCGACTATAAAATCAATTAGTCGACTATACTGTAAACTAACAGAAACTTATATTTCTGTCATAAGCTTGAGTAGTCGACTAGTCAATTAGTCGACTATACTGTAAACTAACAGAAACTTATATTTCTGTCATAAGCTTGAGTAGTCGACTATTATTC